AGAGAGAGAGAGAGAGAGAGAGAGAGAGAGAGAGAGAGAGAGAGAGAGAGAGAGAGACCATTTATTACTTATAAGAGTTACTAGTTTGGTAGAACCCCTTGTATACACATTTATTTTTGTATAATGCTTTAGGTAGTTGCTGTGAACCCGAGCTTGGTATGCTGATTTAAGCCCAAGAATTATAATTTTGTAAATAATTTCTCTGCAATATACTCAGCTCAATCCACACAGACAAAAGTAAGCGTCGTGGTTAAACCCCAGTTTAAGGTGTCAGAAGTGGCATCCACAGCCTCAGAAAGGTCTAAGAAAAGTCCGAGGGTGAATGGTACGGGGCCCCTAGTCAAAAGAACTGCTCTGAGCGCCCGCATGAGACAGTTGGCTCCTTGGAAATCAAGAGTCAGACTCAGCACGGGAAAAGCGGGCGTGGAGTCCAAGTCTTCCCAGTAATCAAGGACGGCCGTAGATCAGATGCATATCAAAGGCTGTCTGCATGTTTCGAGAAGATTCCAGTACAAACTGGGACATTGCACATTTGGTTCAATGGTGCATCCAGGCCGTCGGCATCAGAAAATCTGGGCCGTCCACGAAGTCAGAGGGAGGCTCATTCTGCCTTGCATGTACTTCCAGCCAGATTGCTGCTCGCGAGGCTGACGTGCGGAGAGGCTGGTGCCAGATGCTTTGAGAAAGCGCCAGCCAGGGAGGAGATGCTGGTGGAGTGGCCACTGCCAGGAGCTGCGGCCATAGCTGTAGGAGGACAAGGGGCGAGGAGGAGGAGGTTCAGGACTGTGAGACTGCCAGGAGGGGCGTGAATGGAAAGCTTACCTGAACTGACCTGGCGATGATAATATTGAAGCAGCTGCGGATCTCCATGAGGTTGCGGAAGGTCATCACCAACCTCCATAGCCAGGGCTATGATTGAAGGCTGGGCGCCATTGTTGAAACCTTCAAAGAGACTTTGTCAGTGATCATTGGAGACTGTCTGCGGTGACGATGTTGGCAGGGAGATACCCGGTGGAGAAATGAGAGTTGGATATTATTGATTGTGAATATACCTCTTTTCTCTCCCTCCTCTCATTCTCCTCCTCTCCCTGTATGGTTCTGACTACTTGCTGCTTCTGAAATGTGCAACTGATCGGGTTGGACTTGTAATCATCTCTGGAGACTACATTTTGAGCGCTGGTTTGAAACTTGTGTATCATTGCTGTTTGTGCTTTCCAACGACGCTGGGTTCATTACAGCTGTGAGCTCGCCTTGACTATCTCCTCTTCAACCATAGATTGAAGTTAAACCACCAGTACCTTTAATATTATTATTTTTTTTTTAAGAATAGCCCTTGCATAAGGCCTCGATTCCGGCGGTGGTAAGAGAACAGTCCGAGTTGAGGGACTTATCTGTCAGGCTGCTCCATCTATTGGTGGGGAGCGGCACCTGCTGGAAACCGGGTCCAGCGTCCCATTGTTACATCTTATAACACAGAGATGCTGTTTGTTTTTTCCTAGGACTGTGGCCATTTCTGTCGTAGCCCGGGGCTCCGTTGCCCCATGGAGCTGCCAGTATCCCCCATCCCTTCTTGGAGCGCCCCTTGTCTGTTACCCCAGTTCTACTCAGCAGCCCCCCTATTCGTTATTGCTATGTCTGTTTCTTAAAACCCTTTAAGCCCTTAAAACCCTATCCCCTCTCAAGCCCCAGGCATAACACATTACTGATCCCTGAAACCAGATGATCAGCAGAATCTGAAGGTGGAATGCAATCCGCATTTGGTGTGTTATGCAGTCCAGCGCGTTGAAGAGAGCGGCCACGAGTCCATGCACCTTAAGCCCTGGAACCGTTATACCATAGACTGCCCGATCGCAGTATCCCTTCACTGGGCTGCATTCGTGGTCTGAGGGCGCTGCTCCCTTAGTCGCATCGGTCTTAATAGTTCCAACTGCAGGGCAAGCAGCAGTGAAACGATAGCTATTGCTCTGGTCATTGGTGCCACTTAGTCTAGGAGCTATACGACCGGACATATATTTTGCTCAACGAGACGAGGTGTGTCACGGAGTGGACAATGCTGCGACAACTTGGGTTAGGCAGACCTCACATGCCGAGGGGCGGCAAGAGGAAGGTGACAACAACAGGATTAATGTGTGTGTGTGCGTGTGTGTGTGTGTGTGTGTGTGTATGTGTGTGTGTGTGTGTGTGTGTGATGATGTGTGTGTGTGTGCGCGCGTGTGTGTGTGTGTGTGTGTGGGTCTCTCTCTCTCTCTGTGTGTGTGTGTGTGTGTGTGTCTGTCTCTCTCTCTCTCTGAGACTCTGCGTCTCTCTCTCTCTCTCTCTCTCTCTCTCTCTCTCTCTCT